CAACCCCCGCACCTGCCTCGGGACGCCACTGGAATAAGGTGCTCTGGTCAGATGAGACCAAAATTTAACTTTTTGGCCTAAAAGCAAAAGGTTATGTATGGCGGAGAACTCACACTGCTCATTACCCTGAACACACCATCCCCACAGTGAAACATGGTGGTGGCAGCATCATGTTGCGGGGATGCTTTTCTTCAGCAGGGACAGGGAAGCTGGTCAGAGTTTATTGGAAGATGGATGGAAACAAATACACGGAAATCTTAGAGAGAAAACCTGTTTAGAGTCTGCAAAAGACTTGAGAATGGGGTGGAGGTTCACCTTCTAGCAGAACAACAACTCTAAACATACAGCCAGAACTACAATGGAATGGTTTAGAATTAGATCAAAGCATATTCATGTGTTAGAATGGCCCAGTCAAAGTCCAGACCTAAATCCAATTGAGAATCTGTGGCAAGACTTGAAAATTGCTGTTTACAGACGCTCTCCATCCAATCTGACAGAGCTTGAGCTATTTTGCAAAGAAGAATGTCCCTCTCTAGATGTTCAAGGCTGATAGAGACATCCCCAAAAAGACTTGCAGCTGTAATTGCAGTATTGACTCAGGGGGGAGGAATACAAATGCACGCCACACTTTTCACATATTTATTTGTAAAAAATTTTGAAAACCATTTATCATTTTCCTTCCACTTCACAATTATGTTCCACTTTGTGTTGGTCTATTACATAAAATCCCCATAAAATACATTTACATTTTTGGTTGTAAGATGACAAATTGTGGAAAATTTCAAGAGGTATGAATACTTTTTAAAGGCACTGTAGGGCAAGATCACAAAGAACTACAGTATGTTCGCAAATTATTATTATTATATTATTATACAGTATTTATAAAGTGCCAATAGTTCACTCAGCACTGTACATAAATAGTAAATATATTTCTTCAATGATATTTAAAGTGTTACTAAACCAAAAACAGTCAAATCAGTCTGTATATGCAGTAAAGCATTCTTATTATGGAACCTAAGGGGTTAATCATCTGCATTGTGTAAAAAGACTGTTTGATCCTGACTTCTCTTATCCTCCCCTTCTTCCAGTGTCCCCCTCTTATCTCCTGATAAGACATATCGTGTGGCGACATTGCACATGCTCAGTCTGGTGTGTATTGCTAGAGAGGTTTTTTCTTTTGTCTTGGGAGAGTGCATGTGATCAGCATAGGGCCAATCAGCACTGTCCAGACATAAGTCAGGGGTTCTGCATCCTCCTACAGCAAAATTAAAGCTCCTCCTACAAGCTTTAACATGTGCTCTGCTGGACACTGATAGAAGTCACAGGACTGCTCTAACTGCTGATGAGAAAAGGTATTTAGCAGTTTATATTTACTAAAATAATTGCATTTCCATGTTCTGCGTACTGTGGGAGACCAGATATAACGAATGCAGGGTCCTGGGTTTAGTAACACTTTAAAGAAACACAAGATCATATATAAAGGATTTTCAGCTAGAACATAGTTAAAGATTATAAATCAAGAAATCAATTTTGTATTTTATAAAGCTAGGCCTGCTTAGCAAGTCTAGCAATGAAATCACGTTTGTGGCTCAACAGAAATGTATTATCTTTTTAAAAGGATTACTCTTGCTCAGGGAATATGAGGTTGGTAATGGACATAGGCTGATTACAATTGTCAGTAACAGAAAATAAATGAAGAATGACTCAGCTGAGTAATCCCCCTGCTTTGTACGGATGTACCGAACCATAGAGTGTTGAGTTCAAGCATTCTGGGACCGAGACACTCATGCCAATGGGTGGTGATAGGAAAATGCCCCCATCTAAATCTGAGGTCCTATGCTTCTCCTTTACATGCATAGCTAAATGAATTAATCAAGACTTATTGTGAGCATGCATGATAATTGTAGTCTTTACACATCGGTACAGGATTATATGTAACAGTGTTTATACCAAGTGCAGTTTATTCCAATGTGAGAAGTAGCAGTATTTCGAATCATTCCTCCCCGAGGGCCCCCATGTCCTGTATCATTCCCTAAACAACTTTAGAGGATTTTCACATAAAATGAATTTTCTCAGCCAACTGAACCCACAGGACTTGACATATCACACAATGTTCATGTCAAGGACTGCACATTTTCTTCCTGGATATTTCTATATTCCAGAATGGAAATGTAAACGCCAAGACAGAACTTTATATTTAGTTTTTCAGCAGTGCATCCATGTTGGAATGACACCTCTTTGTTTCTGGGTAGCAATTCACACTTTGGGAGCTTGTTTAGGAAAACTTAAAAATTGGTTCTTATGTTGTGTGACATGCGGTATCCAGGGGTGTATTTACCACAAGGCGAACAAGGCATTTGCCTAGGGTGGCATTTTTCAAGGGGGGCAGCAGCTTTTTTCAGAGGGGCAGTACCATTTCTTGAAAGAAGGAAAAGAAGGGACACACGCAGCACGGGGATCTGAGAGAGGCTGCAGGCTGTTATTGGTGTATGCAGAGTCTGACTCTTGATCCAGGGGATGTCCAGAGCTGTGAAGGTGAGTGTCTGCTCTCTTACCAGAGTGGGGGGGCATTTGCCAGTGTATGGTAGTAAAAGGCTCACTCAGGTGGAGGTGGGGGGCCTGGAATGTTGTCAGTCAATGTCAGGCTCTCTTTGTGTGGGAGAGTGGGTGTTGGTTGGTGTCAGGGTCTCTCCCTGGGGGGGAGCCAATTTTTGTGTTGCCTAGGGCAGCACAAAACCTAAATACACCACTGGCGGTATCCCACAGCAGCCAATCAGATTTTAGTTTACTGTACTCAGATTAGGTTGAAAGAAACTCCTATTGAGGCAATCTGTAGGCTGTTGTGTTGATTCAATGGCTTCAAGACAGTTAACGTATGGAGATCAGAAGTCCTAACTTTACTATGCGAATAGAACGTTTATAGGGTACATCTTCCTGGGGGGCCCTCATATTGGAGATGACAGCTGGTGTCAAACAAACCCTATCACACCCTCTTCTGTGATGCAACAAGGAAGTGATGGCTCCTGAGAGATGGCCTACAGGAAGTGAATGCTGAGACGATCCACAGGAAGTGATCGACTCTGAAAATCATTTAAAAAATTCAAATAAACTGACAAGATTTTAAACCTCCTGTGGTTAAGGTAAGCGAGAGAAAAGCACATTGGAATGACCGGGCCAGAAATGGCATATTTATTATGAAAAGTGAAATTCTGCCCGCAAAGGTGAACTTATCCTTTAAGGGTCAGTCCATCCAACACAAAAATTTCAGTAATGAATGGACACTGGGGAACTGATTCAGCCACTGCACCATGTTTTTTTTTTATTGTTACAAGGTTGAGATCTCCCTGCTAGAGCTATCAATCAATTACAAGCAGGGGCGGACTGACCATTCGGAAACTTGGGCACTGCCCGAGGGCCCGGGGTCAGTAAGGGGCCCCATGAGATGTCCCTGGTACCTTTGATAGGCTTTTTTGGGTGTGGTTTAAGTGTGGACAAGCACACAAGGGCCCCATGATCCCCTATTGCCTGGGGGGCCCCATGAGTTGTCAGTCCGCCCCTGATTACAAGTGTCTTCAAGTAACATTTTGCCTATTGGGACAATAAGTGGAGGCATTGCTGGTCATGAGGCCAGAAGCCAAGAGATTTTGGCCACATGATCCCTTTTAAAGGTAAGGATCAGATTTAAAGTGGTTGTAAAGGCTGAAGGTTTTTTACTTTAATGCATTCTCTGCATGAAGGCAAAAAAAAACCTTCTGTGTGCAGTAACTCCCCCAGCCCCCCAGTACTCACCTGGGTCCCGTATCAATCCAGTGATGTGTACAAGAGCAGCAGCTCTCCAGGGACCCTTCCTCCTCATTGGCTCCCGCTACTGTCAATCACAACCAGTGATCCAATGAGGAGAGAGGGGAGGGGACAAGCTGCGCTCCATGTCTGAATCAACACACAGAGCAGTGGCTCAGGACCGAGCCTGCTCGGGTGCCCCCCCCCCCCCATATAGCAAGCTGCAGGAGGAAGGAGTCAGGAGCTTCAGTGTGGGACTCGAGAAGAGGAGGATTGGGGCTGCTGTGTGCAAAACCACTGAACAGGGCAGGTAAAAAAAAAAAACTGCCATTAATATCACTTTAGGAATGACTGATTATTGTCATGTGACCAAAGGCCTATGCCAACTGAAGGAAATTTGAAGCACATTTACTCCAATAAGGTATTTCAGCCCCCCTATCAAGCCAGCCATACACTGGGCTAATTTAGTCTGCCTAAAATTTGCTTAGTGGGTGGCCCTGCTGGCCCCCACCAGTCCAACATCCTTACACTGAAATTTCAAAGGAGCCAGGCAGAAAACTTGCGTCCAGACAGCGGCTGTACCGGGGTGGACTGACAACTCATGGGGCCCCCGAGCAATAGGAGAACATTGGACTCCTGTGTCCTTGCCCAAACTCAAAAAAGCCTATGAAAAAGGTACCAGGGGCATCTCATGGGGCCCCCTACTGACCCCGGGCCCTCGGGCAGTGCCCGAGTTTCCAAATGGTCAGTCCACCCCTGGGCTGTACACAATAGCCCCAGCGGGAGATTTGTCTATCTGCACTGTCTAGCATGGATGGAGGGATATGTTCGATTTTTTCTGTTATTCAGCCTGTAGGCTGAACAAAAAAGATCTATCAGTGTATGGTTTACTTTATTCGCTTATTTTTTTTTCTTATTTCAGCAAAATTGTTACCAGAAATCTATGACAGACCACAACTGTATAACTTTATCTCCTTCATGTACTTATACAGTGCTGTCAATTTATGCAGCCTCTAACATATATATTGTATGTTCACATCAGTCCTTCAAGAGGCATACAATCTATGACCCCTAACTTACATTCATACATACACATACTAGGGCCAATTTAAACAGGATGTCTTTGGAGTGTGGAGGTAAGCCCACACAGGCACGGGGAAAACATGCAAACTCCAGGCAGGGGGTGCCGTGGTTGGGATTTGAACCAATAACTCTAGTACTGCCAGGTGGAAGTGCTAACCATTTAGCCACTGTGCGGCCTGTTAACTTTACATTAATATTTGAATGTAGATCCACTGTTATTCTGAGCAACTCTTTCAACAGTTTTAACTGCCTCCCACCCACCATATAAGAAAATCACGGGCGCAAAGCGGTTCTCTCATTCTGGGAGGACGTCATATGACGTCCTCCCACTCTAACCTGCTCATCAATGCCACCTACCAGTGCCCATCAATGCCACATAGCAGTACCTACCAGTGCACATCAATGCCACCTATCAGTGCCCATCTAAGCTGCCTTTCAGTGCCACCTATCAGTGCCAGTCAGTGCCACCTATCAATGCTACTCAATGCCGCCTAACAGTGCTGCCAATCAGTGCCACCTATCAGTGCCACTCAGTGCTGCCTGCCAATGCCCATCAGTGCCACCTACCAGTGCCTCCTCATCAGTGCCCATCAGTGCTACCAATCAGTGCCAATCAGTGCCGCCTATCAGTGCCCATCAGTGCATCCTCAATAGCGCACATCAGTGAAGGAGAAAAATCACTTATTTACAGCATTTTATAACAGAAACTAAGAAAAAACTTTTTTTAAAATTTTCAGTTGTTTTTGGTTTGTTTAGCAAAAAAATAAAAAAAAAACCCAGAGGTAATTAAATACCACCAAAATAAAGTTCTATCTGTCTCACAAAGAATGATAAAAATGTCATATGGGTACAGTGTTGCATGACCGCGCAATTTTCATTCAAAGTGAGACAGCGCTGAAAGCTGGAAATTGGCCTGGGCAGGAAGGGGGTAATATGAAGATATAGATGAACAAGATGAAAACTTGTGCTGTTGGGTACCCTTGAATTCAGGTCAGTGACTTTGCTTTTCATTTTTCATTTTTTAACTGGCACATTTTTTTAAAATGTCAATAATTTAATAATCCAGCATTCAGTTAGAAAAGCAGTTTGAATTATGTGGAAAGAAGATGACGCATACATCGTAGTACAGGGTTTCTCATACAGCTAGGAAATGATGTGGGATACAATTCACAGGAAGAGCTCCGAGGAGCGAGGCATCAGCAGAGATATGCTGCAAGAAACCATGAAGCTCAGGCTTGTACTCTGCTTATGGACATTTCAGCTGTTGGCTCATTTAAGGCAATCATTTATTCATTACAAAATCATTACATGCATTTTATGTGGAACTGATACAAATACCTGAATTTGTACCTATAACTACCTTTGGCATTTCCTCATACAGGAACACTACAACTGGCAAAGGAAGGCAGCACAGTGGCTAAATGGTTAGCACATCTGCCTGGGTCTGTTGGTTCTAATTCCAGCCATAGCACCACCTGCCTGGAGTTTGCATGTTCTCCCTGTGCCTGTGTGGGTTTCCTCCAGGTACTCCAGTTTCCTTCCACACTCCAAAGACATGCTGGTATGTTTATTGGCTCCTGTCTAAATTGGCCCTAGTGTCTGTATAAATGTAAGTTAGGGACCTTAGATTGTACCCCCCTTGAGGGCTAGGGACTTATGTGAATGTAAAATATATGTGTAAAGTGCTGCGTAAATTGACAGCGCTATATAAGTACCATAAATAAGGTGCAAAACTAGGAGGCAATCTGGCAGTGCTGCATACAAATCTATTGAAAAGAACAAAGATCAGAACAAATAGAGGGAGAACCTATCACTGTGCTGCTGCTCCTTCCTTGACCAGGCTGCACTGCTGTGGTGGAGGTTGTGCTGTCTGGCATGGCTGCCTGGATCATAAGACTGGCTGCACAATATTACAAATCCTTTAACAGGTAAAACAGCTCAAATATATGCATTTATAAACTATGTAAATAGCTGCTTATCTGGTGTTAATTATTATAAGCAAAATAATACAGAACATCAATAATCACTTTTATTACAGCCTATATTTCAGGAAGAATAGCTAACAGAGAGTATAATTTCATGTCTGGGTCTCATAAAATACCCCGAAATACCTTGAAATGTCAGTTTAAATCATAAAAACCAGCGGGCATATGTTTACAGGGCGTTTACCTCATAGCAGTTGATACAATTGGGTTAGCATTATTTGCTATATTGTTATCACATTTTTACATAAAGATTTGTAGTTGATGACTATCTTTGTGTCTCATATATAAGTTACAAGGCTCCTGTCAAGTGCAAGGTGCTGCCATTGCTTTCCCATCCAGATACAGAGTTAGCCATGTCTAGAATGTCACTGTACATAATGCTACCGAGCAGGGGCGGACTGACCATTTGGAAACTCGGGCACTGCCCAAGGGTCCGGGGTCAATAGGGGGCCCCATGAGATGCCCCTGGTACCTTTTTCATAGGCTTTTTTGAGTTTGGGCAAGGACACAGGGGCCCCATGATCCCCTATTGCCCAGGGGCCCCATGAGTTATCAGTCCGCCCCTGCTACCGAGCTGCTTGCTGTTTAAGAACCAGCACTGAATGTGAGCCTAGGCTGACAGGTAACAGCTATCCAGCAGGGTATCATTAGGGAGAATATATTCATGAATGCATACCTATTATGTACATATGATTTATTATATTCAGGATTTAAAAAATATATTTTACCAGTTTGGCAATTATGAAATGTGGCATATACAGTGTATGCAGTATTCTAGCCAGCAGGTGGAGCTCTAGTCTTATTTTCACATATTTAGTTATTTCAGCTTTCATCTATGTTGAAAGAATTCAAGAACTATAGTGAATCATCACAGCAGTAGCATACCCCTTAATTGACAGTGCCAGGTTTTAAAGGTAACCTTTCTTTAGATAAACAAGCAGTAGTAGAGTAGTGTACGGTGTTAGCAGTTAATGGAAAAAATGTATAGCTTATGTGATACCTTTTATTGGCTAATTCAGGTTATTAAAAGGTAAAAAAAAGGCTGTAATTCCTGGTTTCTGCTGCTATTGGTGACTTATCCGTTTGCAACTGCTGGTTACCTAGCTGTCATGCTTCAACTGACCTTCCAGCCTTAATATTCTGAACTGGACTGAAACAAGAACCACTTTTAATGAAAATTTACCCTAATCAGACAAAGAAGGTTGGAAAGCAAGTTTTGTTTGCTGTGCAGTTTAGCTGACCCATGGTGCTCTGGGTATCCCTTGCATGTTTTAAAGCTGAACCCAAAAAGTGCCCCCCTCCCAATGGTTATTTGCTTATTTCATCTCAGGGAATAGAAATAGGCAAAATACTTTATTCCTCACTCCCATGGCAGCCAGCACCCTCCTGTAATGTCCATTGCTGCCAGTATGTAGGCAGGTCCTTGACATCCTGGTTGACCATTGGTCCTGCATTGTGCATGATGACACTGGAAATACCACGACTGGATAAGCGGCATATAGAGGCGGCATCATAATTGCAGTATAATGGGGAGGAAGCCTGTGGGGTCATTGAATAAGGTTGTCCATAGATAATTCTTTTTTTTTTTTTGATCAGCCAGAAGGCTGATAAAAAAAAGATCCCCCCCCCTGCTGTGGTATTGCATTCTGACAGCAGGGATTCCTCCACTGTCAGCCACTGATCGACTGAAAGTGTTCCAACAATCCTGTTTACCAGAAGTCAATCCTTAGACTGACTTCTGTCAAGTGGACACAGCCATTGATTGATCGAAATTTGGCTGGTTCAGCAAGGATCCATCTATGGCCAGATGAACGAATAAGGTGAGTAATGCTGCATATTACTTCTAGACAAAATGAACAATTAACCCTTGCAGTGCATGGGCAGTGGGACTCTGCCAGTTCATTTTTATAGCTGACTGGAGCTAGCATTAAACGTTTATGAAATAAAATAAAATGTACCCAATACCATTATAGACAGTTGGCATTGCTGGCTTGTTCTTGAAGCTGCGCGTTGCACGACTGTTACCCTCACCTTTGCTTCACCCTGTCCATGTGTCACTAACTGGAGCCAGTATGTATCCGGTAAAGGCAGCATAAGGATCTGGGTTTAAAGTAGTGAACCAGGGATGTGGATGACAGCACAAAGCCTACCCTTTCCTCCCACGTTTCTACCCTGACAGGTTCTGTTTAAGTTTAGCATTAATTAGGATGTGTCCTTTCAAAAAGATAGCATGCATCAGGTGAAAAATGAATTATTTGAAGCGCAGAGCAGTATAAAAAAAAATCTACAGCTGAAACTACACAGAACACATCATCTTCCTATTCTCACCCTCTATGTTTTTGTTTGTGAGCTAAATTGATACTGAGCTTTATTTATTTCTTCTTTCAAATACTTTCAGGGTCATAGGTTGTAAATAATGTACATTGTCATTAATGCCTTCCATATGCTTAGAGATATCCTTTGAAACATTCTGAAAAACACAAAAAAATTCTCCCCATATCCTATATAAGAGGTTTTTTTTTAATAATTCAAAACAAAAGAATATTATCAGTATACTGTATGTAGTAGGCAAAATAAATATTCATAGAGGAAACGGCAATTAACAACTTTAGATTAGATTTTAAAGGTTTTGCTCTATTCCAGTAGTTTCCAAACCAGATGTGGCCCTTTGCTTGCCTTTATCTGGCTCTTGGGGCACTTTTCCTCCCACTGATACAAGACACTATTCCTCCCACGGAAACCAACAATGGGACATAATACTTGTTTTTGACACAAACGATGGGACACTATTCCTCCCACAGACACCAATGATGGGGTACTATTCCTCACAGTGACACCAATGATGGGGCACTATTTCTCCAGCTGGCACCAATGATGGGGTACTATTCCTCACAGTGACACCAATGATGGGGCACTATTCCTCCCACTGGCACCAATGATGGGGTACTTACTCCTCCCATTGGCACCAATGATGGGGTACTTATTCCTCCCACTGACAGCAATGATGGGGCACTATTCTGCCCACTAACATCAATGATGGAGTAGTATTCCTCCCTCCCAGGGACACCAAAGATGGAGCACTTTTCCTCCCACTGACACCAACAATGGGACACTATTCCTCCCACTGACACCAATGATGGGGTACTATTCCTCACACTTACACCAATGATGGGGCACTATGCCTCCCACTGATACCAATGATGGGACATTATTCCCCCTAGTGACACCAATGATGGGACACTATTCCTCCCACTAACAACAATGATGGGACACTATTCCTCCCAGTGACACCAATGATGGGGCACTATTCCTCCCACTGGCACCAATGATGGGGTACTTATTCCTTCCACTGGCACCAATGATGGGGCACTATTCTGCCCACTAACATCAATGATGTAGTAGTATTCCTCCCTCCCACTGACACCAATGATGGGGTACTATTCTCACAGTGACACCAATGATGGGGCACTATGCCTCCCTCTGATACAAATGATGGGACACTATTCCCCCTAGTGAACCCAATGATGGGGTACTATTCCTCCCACTAACACCAATGGTGGGACATTATTCCTCCCAGTGACACCAATGATGGGGCACTATTCCTCCCACTGGCACCAATGATGGGGTACTTATTCCTCCCACTGGCACCAATGATGGGGCACTATTCTGCCCACTAACA